CTTGAAGAAGTCGAAATTGAGAAAAAAATCAATAAACAAAGGTAAGTTATCAAGGCAATCTACTATAGAAAAACTAAGTGTAGCATATGAAGTAAATCACTACTTTGCAAAAAAAAAGAAGAAAGGAACACATGAAAATAGCACAAATGAAAAACGTCTGCACTTGATTACTGCCTAACTAGAAGTGATAGTTTGGTAGAATCGAATAGAGGAAGTCAGATGTGGCAGGAGAGTGTGTCGCACTCCTATTGGTGGAGTGTTGTTGCAAGATGATTTACATGTGAGATTCTGTTGAGCACATTGATTGTAGAGTTAGTGCAAGTTCAAATGTGGCAAGCGAAACAAATTTGCATATAGAAGGCAGCACTGAACAAGAATAGCTATACAAGTGAAAGGAGATAATATACCATATCAGAAGCTAGTTTTCTCTCTTATACACAGCCACCACAATATAATTGTATGCGTGAATTGAAAGATGGTAGTGTAATATTAGTAGGAACTCCTGACAAGCATACTAAACTACCCGAAATTCCAAATGATTGATGCAAAAAAGCGATTCCTTAGGAAGCAAAAAACATGTTTATACATACAGCACCCTAATCCTTGGGATAGGCATCTGTAAAGCAATGCAAATGTGATTAAGGAGGAAGAAAAGTGGAGCTTACAGTAATAAACTCTTAGCTGAGCCAAATTTGGTGATCATTATGAGCAACAGGAAAGAAGAGAAGTTTACGAAAATAGATGGACTTAGAGGCAAGATACCATTGAAGGTGTTTGATTAAAACAAAATTCAAGGGAATTCCCTTGTAAAGAGAAACCATTAAATGGAATAGAGAGGCAGGTGCAACCAAGATTCCAAGAAAGGCAAAGCCATAAGGAATTGGTGGACAAATTCCTTGAAAAGTTTCTCCAAAGTCATGAACACAAAACATGCTGAGTAGGTACAAACTGAGACATCTTAAAGTAGGAAGACAACTAGAAGTAATAGTTGAAGTCAGAACTCTAATCAGCTCCTGATGATGAGCTTCATCTGATTCATAAACTAACTTATGAAAAATATTGGCTACGAAAATAAAAGGGTGAAAGAAAGAGACCATTCAGGTCAGCAAAAATATTGAGAAGGAGGACAATACTTTGGTAAATAGCTCTTATAGCAAGCAAAACATGTGGTAAATGAGACTAAGTCACTAAGAAATTCACAAAGAGAAAGATGTAAAGCAGCCGTTTCTTATTGGGAAGAGCTTCATGAGAATAATAACAGTTGATACTGATGAAAAAACTCTTCGAAAGAGTATAATGACAGAGTATAGATGAGAATACTGATGATGAAGATACACCCTTTCCTTAAAAAAAAATTGGTCTAAGGTTTGAGGAGATGTCAAATGAACAGATGGATAACACCCTATTAACTCTCTCAATATGGACTCAGTCAATTTGACTGACCATGTGACCTTTTTGTACTGGTTTAAAGTCTTTATAGAATTAATACTTATAACTCTCAATATAGTGGGTATATCTTCACAAAAGTTGGCAATCTTTCAGTTAATATTACAAGTCTTGTATATATTTTAAAATATTTCTCAGTGAAGTATTTTTAATAAAATAAAATAAAGATTTGTCTATGAATATATTGAGTATTTGTTTTGAATAGTCCATGTGCAATAAAAATATGATGTAACTGTACAATATCTTGTCAGAATTAATATATAACAAAATACATTTTTATATATACTTCATAAATGGTAAAAATGAAAAAAACCATTAAATTATGTTTCAAAATACATAAAAAATAAATCCTCATCTAAACACACAAATATTTAATAGAAAATTATATAGAAAATACAGTAAATACCAACAAGTTAACATTTCATACTCAATTTTGAAAATGAACCTTTAGTTAACAGAAACACTGAGACAAAATTAACCAAAAACACTTGCACGAACAGGCATGCAAGTACACATGTTTACATCAATATATACAGAAACAAACAAAGTAACTACACTTCTTATATTTTCACCAACAGACTAGAATAATAATTTACACACACTAAACTATTAACATCACTGCTGAATTAACATGATTGCATATGATTATATAATGTATGCATTATATTAGTGAATGAAATATATACACATAAAAGATGCAGACCTCTGATGAGTTCAAGTGATGTCTGATAGCATATCCACAATGAAATGTACAGATTTTGTGCCTTTCACTGAATTTTAATGGCTTCTTTAGAGGGCCAGATTTCTTTTGGTAAGACCAAACTCCTCCTTTCTTCATTAGATTTTTGACCACTGCCTGTGGGTATCCTAAGTTTGATTTCAGGCAGTGGTCCTCTTCTCTGAGATAAACATCCAGGCTTCCATCCATTCAGCAGTGGTGGAACAAATGAACAAGTGCCTTTAGGTCATATTTTGCTGAGATTTGCATCAGAAGTTCTAGAGTCTTCAACTGTCTTTACCAAAGCAACATTCTTTGCTCTTTTCATCTTCTTTACCTTATTGGTTGAGTAGTAGAGCTTCAGAGAAATGCCTAAGAGCATTTCTAGGGTCCTCCACTTAACAACCAAGCATACTGATATTGAAGCCTTCTTCAGCTTGTGTTCACATTGAAGGTGAACACATATTTTGTTTTATGTTATCTATGTATGTTGCATCTTTCTCATGGAAAAGTGAAAAATTTTTCTTCTTGCAGCTGCAACAGTCTCATTACAAGTTGATAGCTGTGATTTTGCCAAAGTCAAAGATGAGGCTCACCGGCCACTAAAGGAAGGAATCGAAGGTTGACCATACACTAATATGACTTCAGAGGTCCCAGTATTTCTCAGAAACAAGATAAACATCTCACCTATAGAAAGTGATATATTTTAGTAAATGGGAACAGGCAGGGAAAGGTCCGTGTTCATTGCAATTTGAGCTGGAGAAATTGCTGCATCATTGAACAAAATCTTCACCTGTACTTTGACAAATCCTTCCAGCTGAATATGGGATTTAAATCATGTACATCTTTTATGATGATGACAAAGTTATGACACCTCATCCAAACAAGAAAAGCCCTAGATGGCAGATGGAAAAGTAAACTGGTCAGTTTGAACAAGAGCTGAATTTGACTAAATAAAACAGGAGTCAACACTCACCTAACAAACTTGTGATAGTTCAGAAGTAAACTTTTCAGCAGAATATTAAACTTGTCTAATTTAGATACAGTTGCACCTTAACATTTTCTTAGAGATGCCACGGTGAAGTTGATCAATACAAGAGTAATTCACAGAAGTGACATGCAACCCAGTAATAAAAACTATCATACACCTATATGTTACCACCATGCAGCAGTGTACAAAAGCTACATACAACAAAGAAGTTTTGTGAGAGCAGCTGATGAAACTGTTCATAGCAATGAACTAATTCTACTGAAAACTATTGTTGTTTACTGGATACATTGATAAAGCTGACTGGTCAAATACTGAACAATTGAGACTGACTCCACAGGTAAGCAGCAAGTAAGGCTTACTTCTTGCATAATGTCTTCTGTGGTACATTTTTTGTAGGAAAAAATTATTTGCAACAAACGTTCTTAGATAAAATGACATACTGATTTCAGATAATGTAATACAACTAGTTTTACTGAACAGTACTTGAATGCACATATGCAGAACTACAATGTACAAGATGATGTCAACCACACTGCCTAATCGTGGTGTAAGAGTTAAAATAACCTAAAAGAAGGAACTGAAAGAGAAAGATACATGTAATACTTATGCACCAAATAAATCTTGGCCACAAATCAGAATAGTGATCTGTATCATACATTGTGGTATTCCTGACTAAGGAACATAGAAGACTGAATTTGTAGATGAAATGAAGATACTTGACTGAGACACACACACACACACACATACATATATATATATATATACACACACACACACATACATATATATATATATATATATATATACACACACACACACACACACATATACATATATGACAAACTAAAATTACTGACGCAAAATAAAGTTGAAACTAAATTCAAATTGAACAAAGTCTGTGTAAGCTTGCATTGAAAATGTAAAGAAAAGCAAAAAAATAACTCTACTAAATACAACTGGAAAAAAATCACAAATAAAGAACCAATTATTACAAGCAGCATTTCACTAATCAGCCTAGATGCTCTCAAATTGAACACAAATCTCTTGATAGACCTAAATCATATACAAATCTCCCACAGCTTGACCAATGGCAGATAAACTTCTTAGAATTTGGTTGTCTTTCCACTTCTGTGACATTTTTAAAGCAGTCTCACACTAAGGAGATATTAGTCACCAACACAACTAAGTCATTTCATGGATAAGACAACCAGAATTGGCACCTACCATAGAAGCTAGATACCCAGAACCAAGTTCAGCAGGTTATCTATATTGGCTTTCCAACAGATTCTGTAACAGAATTTTGATAAAAGTACAGGAAAATTTAGTATGTGCCACTTGCTTACCACATCACCATCAGTATGTATTACTGTAAAAAAATGATCCAAAACAGTAAGAAAGATCCAAGTGTTCATGAAAATTGTAAACATTCAAATCTGAAGATGAAATATTTGTCTTCCAAAAGTGATTAAAAGAAACTGTACTGAAGCATTTATTTATTTCCATAGGCACAGATATACTTGTAACTAAAGAAATATTGATTTGTTGATCTTAAATCTAGGTACAATTTTCCATTAACTGCTTTGCCCATTTAATTTTTGGTGTTGTGTAATGTAAACAATTTGTATTACTAACTACTTTGCCTTACACTTAGGTCAGTATCGATTTACCTCATGCTTTGGGTATAAAGGTTAATGGCTAGTGAATAATCTAGTATTACATGCTTTCTAAGGCAGTTTAATGAGTCCAGTTATAAGATTTAGTGAGTAATAAGTAAAATCACTGAGATATTTATTCAATTGCATTCATCAACCAACTATACACAGTAACCAACACAAGAAAACTCACCTTTACATAACGGTCTTCATTGGTCAGGTACCAAGCTTCAACTGTTTCCATCACTTGGTAAAACATAAAACTATAAAAATATAAATGGTAATCTTTACTGCAACAAAATAAGCAATTCTTGGCTTTCATAAAGCTCACATTCAAAAATTATATTAATTACAACATAATATTAGTATTACAAACAATATATTTAAGTTTTCTGACAATAAAGAACTTGAATTTTTCTTTCTAAATAGATATTAAAAAAAAGAAAAACAGAGAGAATCATGAGTCACCACATCAAAAAAATAATTCTAGAACAAGTTATTAAAATTTAGGATACAGTTCCATTAAAGTTAGTTAAATATTTCTCAGATAATTTAAATATCCCTTTGGATGACACACAATATAAAAATAAATATGCTGGAAAAAAAAGATATAGTTTTGCACTTACAAGGCATCATGCTCAGTAAACTGAGGGTTCAAAAGCTCTCTTATTTCCTCCCTTCATAGAAAAAGAAAGAGGCGTTAAAAAGAACAGTGACTGAATGTTTTACAACTAATCTGCATAAGAACAGCAGTTTTTCTTCTAAGCAATTCTAATATTATCTGAAATCACACTCATCACATTTTCATGTTAAAAAAAATTGCAGCAAATAATGGAAACATTTTCTTTACATTACCTTAAACAAAACTCTGATAAATAACTATTTAGTTTGTCTCTACAATGAGCATATATATCAACCATTTTGCATGATTTGTTAACAATATTTGAAAATTTTACCATTGCATGTATTATCTTTAGAATGTAGTAACTCTTTTTTTACTAATAAGTCATTTTTCAGAGAGTTTTTATATCCCATACAGAACTACATTGTTTTAAGATAGCATTTTTGTTATATCCATACAACTTCAAAGTTATTAAATTAGCCAGGCTCTCAAACTAGATTTTACATTTGGTAGCAATAATGAGTATTTTAATGTAATATTAATTAGGTAAAATGCACAGTGCATTCTAAAAAAGATGTATATCTGATAAAATAGTCGTATCTTATCATATAATTATTTATTATGACACTTAGAAATATAATAAAGTCAACAATTTAATCAGTGCTAACAAGTTAGACAAATTATAACAAAAAGATCACTTCTGTTCGGTCTCAATAATTGCATTTTGCCCATCTTTACCTAAACAGTTACACATTTCATCATTTTTCACTTGTATCACATTTTTTTATAAGGAACAGTTATTTTTTGAGCTATTTATTACTACTCTCTCACTGCTTTCCTTTGTTTCTTAATTTTTTGATGAAGAAAATCAAGAGCTGATAGTCCAGAATTCTAGCTTTTTTCTTCTTTTCCTCATTTTTCTACTGTGTTTATTGCATAATACCTTATTTGAACTAATTGTACATCTGTTTACTTTTATATTTTGCTTTACTGATGTATTACCAACAAGCCAATTCTTGGTTAAATGCTAGCTACACATGCTGCAAGATTGCTATTCTGTTGTTTTCTACATTAATTCATAAGGTTTTCTACTGACAGACTGAGAAATACTTATTGTTTGAATTTGTGAACTTTGTTTCAAAAGTCAGTATTTATAAAAGTAATATCAATATGATTATTTATACAAAATTTTCTATCTTTTTTGTATATAACAAAAATGAAAAATGAAAATTTTAATGATGATGTTTACATAGCTCATAACCAACAGGTACATCAAGTGAGCCAATCATGAGCTTCTTCACCCATAACTGTTGGGTTTCCTGTAAACCCTATGGTATACGAGTTATGCATATTGATAATCATCATGTCAAAGAATGTATGACTGTTATCTTGTTCTACAGATAGCCTCCAAAATGAACAATACAAAAGATGTTAAAAATAAAGTAGGTAAACACACCCACTACAAACCTTCCTTGACAAAAAATACTCTGAACACTTGATTTATATAAAAACAAAACCAAGAATATGTATGAAGAAAATAACAGATAGACAGCCATATTCCCCTATATCAGGGGTATCTCAGAACAAAATACAAATAGTACAGAGTCAAAGAGTATTTTAGAAACTAAAACCCAATGATCAGAGTACACAAACTAAATAAAGATACAATGGAGAGCAAAAACATAATTTAGAACATCTCTTATGAATGTGAACTAATTCATTGGAGATACAAAAATACCAACAAAAGTCAGAATTTAGTTGCAAATTTGGCATAAAAGACTGTAAAACTCACCTATCTGTAAATGCCTGTCATGTAAGAGATCATACAATAAAATGTAATAACACTAAAATAATGGATATGAACAACACATGAAGAAAATAAATATAAAAGAAGCCTTCTACATTTACCTTACTGATAACACACACTCAGTAAATCTATCACAGTAGTCAGCAAAACATGAAACCT